TTTAAATCTTTTTGCTTAAAATGTATATGCATGTCCAGATTTTAATAATGTTTCACATTTTACGTCATTTTGACCATGTACACGATTGTTTGGTACGGGCCGGTATCTATTTTTAACTATATTTAATATTTAAAAAAATACCCTTTATTATTTACTTGCAATGTTTACCCCATTTAATTCTAAAATTAAACACTAGAGAGGGCTAAGTTCGGCAGTAGTGCTGCCTCTATATTTCACGCACGGTCCCTATAACTGAACCTACTAGAATAACATCTACCTCGATGACTCTGCTTGATCCTATTTATAGAAGTGATTTTGATTTTACTTTAGTTAAAAAACCAAGCGTAAACCAAACAAATGTTTCTGACCATGGGTACTCTTTCTGTAGTTTGGAATTTTCAAAAATAAGAAAGAAACCTAAATTTTAAACGTTTAGAGATTTTAGGAATTTTGACTATGACAGTATTTCATGAAATTTTCAATATTGAAAATATTGATGATAAAATGCAGTTTCTCACAGAACAAGTTATTCTCTTATTTGATAAACATGCGCCATTAAAAACTATACAGTATTACTAAATCTTATGCACCCTGGTTAACTTATCCAATCAAATTACTAATTAAGGAAAGAAATTTTGCTTTAAGGAGGTCCTTTCGCCACCAATGTTAAATAAAAAATATTAGATTATGACTAAAATTAATTCTTTTCTAATAGTAGAAGTCCTTCTTTATCTAATAGTGAACTTTTAACTATACCTTACCGTGCAAATTTTTGAGATTTTTTTTTTAAATGTGTGTGTTTGTACAGTGTCTTACGAGAAAGTAAGACTTCAACAACAATTTTCGAATTATAATTAATTTTACTATTATTTATTGATTAGATGGAGTAGAAAAAAACTAAAAATAAGGTTTTTGAAATATTTAGGTTTTGTTTTTTTACAATAAAATATATAGGTTGCCGTGGAATTTATGGAGAAATTGATATTAAAAAATCACAAAAAATTTTCAACTAGGTTACTTCAATTTTTTTTTTAATATTAATTAACCTATATATTTTATTGTAAAAAACAAAACCTAAATATTTCAAAAACCCTATTTTTATTTTTTTTTCTACTCCATCTAATCAATAAATAATAATATAATTCGAGAATTGTTGTTGAGGTCTTATTTTCTCGTAAGACACAGTACAAATACTCACATTTTTAAAAAAAAATTCTCAAAAATTTGCACGGTAAGGTATAGTTAAAAGTTCAACATTAGATAAATAAGGACTTCAACTATTAGAAAAAAAATAAATTTTAGTCATAATCTAATATTTTTTATTTAACATTGGTGGCGAAAGGGGTGGCGAAAGGACCTAATTAAACAAATTTAAGTAAAAAGATTACACACTGATTGGGATAGGTATAAGGAATTAGAAATTTAACTCTCTCCTCTATACGTCATGAAAAAAAAGGAGCCTATTTTGACAACCTGTTTAATTCCCATAAATCCAAGGATTAATGGAAGGGTCTAAATAAACTTCAGTCCAGAAAGCAAGAAATCGCCCTATCTCTTTCGCTGCAGAAACCTGAAGAAATGAATAAGTACTTTTATTCTGTTTTTGTTAAAAATGAAGTAGATGATGACCTATTAGAATATTATAATAATTCAACACTACCTAATTTGCATGGAAACAAACTAGCATTTGATTTTATAACTGTCAGAGAATTTAATAAACTACTCCATAATATCAAATCTAATGCCATGGGTTCTGATGCTGTGTCAATTTCCATGCTGAAGTACTGTAATCCGCATATTGATAATTACATTACGCACCTTCTAAACTGTTGTATTCAAAGAAACTACTTTCCAACATCTTGGAAAATTGCAACAATTAGACCACTATGTAAAGTTGCACAACCTCGACATTTTTCTGATTTAAGTCCTATTAGTATTCTGGACTGCGATGTCCAAAATTCTTGAAAAGGCTATCTATAATAGAATTTCCCTTTATATTGATAAAAACAAAATACTTCCGGATTGCCAGGTGGTTTCCAAAGTGGCTACAATACATCTGTTACACTTTGTCAAGTTACTGATGATATTGTAAGAAATATATACAGAAGACAAATTACATGACTTGTTGCTTTGGACTATTCCAAAGCATTTGATACTATCAATCACAATCTACTTTGTTTTAAACTAAAATATTTAGGTTTTTCTGAAAATTCTATTCATCTCATTCATTCATATTTGTCTAACCGTAGTCAAAAAGTTATTTTAAATAATGAATTTTCTTCATTACAAAACGAAAAGTCTTGGTCACAGGGCTCAATATTAGGACCAATGCTTTTTATTTTATATACCAGTGATATCTTGACATCTGTTGGAAACTGTAAAATACAAGCGTATACTGATGACCCCAACTTTATTACAACATTGATAGTAATAATTATCAAGTTGCTGAACAAGCCTTATGAAGATCTTGATCTTATTCATAAATTGTCAATTAAACATGATCTTAAGCTCAATAAAAATAAATGTCATCTAATCCTATTTGGAAACAAAAAACAATGGAATTACCTTGGTCAGTCTTTCCATAAAAATTCATCAACTAACTTTACCTATGGCAGATTTTTTTATAAAAATTGTTCAAATAAAAGTTGTTTGTAAAATAATTCTCTATAATTTTTATTCTATCCATAATTTCTCTAAAATGGACCGTATTCGAGATATTTGAGAAAATGTGTAAATTTCGAATTTTGAAGAAAACTCAAAAACGGATAAAGAAAAAAACATTAAATTTTAAACTTAAGGTTTATTTCGGCCTGACGTGAAATGATTAGATTTTGGACAAAGTCGGAACATCTAGGGGGGTACTTTATGGGAGGCCGTTTTTATATTTTATGGAATATATCCGTTATTTATGTTTCGAGAAGAAAATTGATCAAATAAAAGTTACTTCTAATATTATTATCTATAATTTTTGTACTATACAAAATTTTCCTAAAATGGTCCGTATTCGAGAAATTTGACAAAATGTAAAAAAAATATTTTTTTATAAAAATTGTTTAAATAAAAGTTGTTTGTAATATAATTCTCTAAATTTTTATTCTATACATATTTTCTCTAAAATGGACCGTATTCGAGATATTTGAGAAAATGTGTAAATTTAGAATTTTGAAGAAAACTCAAAAACGGATAAAGAAAAAAACATTAAATTTTAAACTTAAGGTTTATTTAGGCCTGAAGTGAAATGATTAGATTTTGGACAAAGTCGGAACATCTAGGGGGGTACTTTATGGGAGGCCGTTTTTATATTTTATGGAATATATCTGTTATTTATGTTTGGAGAAGAAAATTGTTCAAATAAAAGTTACTTATAATATTAGTATCTATAATTTTTGTTTTATGTTAAAATTTCCTGAAATGGTCCGTATCCGAGAAATTTGACAAAATGTGCAAAATTCTGATTTTTATGAAAATCGTTGAACTAAAAGTTGTTTGCGATATCGATCTCTATAATTTTTGTTTATACATGATTTTTCTAAAATGGACCGTAATGGAAAAGTGCTAAATTTAAATTTTTCAGTATTTTCGTTTTCAATGAATATCTAAAAATGTTTCGAGGTAGATGTATGTGGCCAATGTATATATTTAGTTTATCCTCTAAACATTTATAGAGATGCTGCAATAGGTTGTACAAAATAACCGGAAAAAGCCTATAAAAATTAGATAGGAAAGTCATGTGTTGGACACATCAGATTTTTTTTGATAAATCCATGCTGCTAATCAATTAATATGTGTGACATAAGTGAATAGATCCTATTATAAACTATTCTCTCAAAGACTTTAGATATAGATGAAAGAATTGTGATGGGACCGAAGTTCTCTATTTGACTTGTATTTCCTGATTTATGTATAGATGCCATGTGAGCAGTTTTGAATTTATCATGACAAATGTTTTTTTGTGCTGATAATGTAAATATTTATTTTAAGTGAATTGATAAAATCTCTGCTCAGTCCTGAGAAAAATAATATGCAGGTATATTATAAACACCCATTGCAGCGTTAGAATTCAGTGACTTGATGGCATTTAACATTTCTTCTGTGGATATTTTCCCTATCTGTAAAATATTCAAATTACAATTGTTGAGTTGTACCTGATCTGGAAGTGCTGGGCTGTTTGAATATACAGATTTAATATCTTCATTGTTTGAGAAATGTTCTCCATTATATGAATAGGTACCTAGCATGTATAAAAATTATTATAGCTTTTATCTTCTCATTTTAACTCAATTTTACTATAATATTTTATAATTAACCAGAAAAATTCAAATTACACAATGAAGTATAAAAAATTAATTAATTTTCCGATAGGATAGATTACTAATTTGCCTAGGAACTGCAGCAAACAGTTGATGGTAACAGTACATAGTGTTAATACCACTCAATAATCAATAAACCTAATAGTTTATAAGTATGTTTAACAAAGAACCACATTTCCTGACTTCCTTTTATAAATAAGCAATTCAAAACCAAAAATAGAAATGACTTGTTAAGCAAATAATGGGTGGGAAGACTTGCTCATAGAAAATTGAAAGAGTTGCTATAAATTACTATTATATAAAGATATTAGGTACATACAAATAAAAATATAAAATTGAAATAAAAACATTAAACCAAGATTTATGTAAATATTTCTTATAGGTAGTTATAATCACACTTGTTTAATCCTTATTTTCACACCTTCAACACTTTGAAAAATCTTCTATTTAAATAATTATGAACTTTTATAAAGTGCAACTAATTTATCTAGGTACTAATAAAATATATTGTATTTAAAAAAAACTATTGCATCTATTTATAATTTAATATTTTAGCTTAACTTCATAAAGAACTTTAAATCATACAGGCAAATTATTATAATTTTTGAACGATAATAAAGCTTCATATATCATACTTAGTTTGAAAAAAAATGCAAAACATGACAATAAAGTGATAAACGCAAAACTTACTTCTGAATTCTTCGTTAGCAGCTGAAATGTTGAATGCGAGCAGATTTCTTGCCTCGCGGCCCTGTTCTTGTACTAAAAGTCTCACTTGTTCCATGTTTACTCACAAAAATATATTCTAATTTACAAATATTTCTTACAAAGAAACATCTTTCAAAAAGGAATTTGTTTTTGATTTTGTTTTGGATTTGCAGACTGACAGATTTTGACAGAATATTGTTCACGTTGACAGTGACAATTCAAGTGGCGACATCTTTCAATTTGTATTTGAACGTTTCAGAATTTGAGAAATATCTATGGCATTCGATCACAGAATTCTGTGATTCGATAATTTGTTGATTAGGTTTTAAACAAGAGATGGCGTGTCGAGTTCCAAAAAAATTTAAAAATGAACAAAAATACAATAAGTCGAGAGGGTGATTCCCCAGAATAAAAATGATATAAAAAAGGAAGAAATTAAAAGTATTTTTTTAAAATTTATTTAAAACTTGTGTTAATTTTGTAAAAGAGAGGAGACCCTCAATCATACAATTGTTTAATAAGAGTTATACAATATACAATAATGATCATACACAAGAGTAATAATAAAAATAAAGTTGAAGCATCTGTATCTTTAACGCCCGTACACGTTTAATCCAGATCAAGGGTTTAATCACGTTTAGTACCAATTTTAGTTATGCACCGTTATAAAAATCATTCTTAAGGAGGTCCTTTCGCCACCCCCTTTCGCCACCAATATTAAATAAAAAATATTAGATTATGACTAAAATTTATTTTTTTTTCTAATAGTTGAAGTCCTTATTTATCTAATAGTGAACTTTTAACTATACCTTACCGTGCAAATTTTTGAGAATTTTTTTTTTAAATGTGAGTATTTGTACAGTGTCTTACGAGAAAGTAAGACCTCAACAACAATTCTCGAATTATACTATTATTTATTGATTAGATGGAGTAGAAGAAAACTAAAAATAAGGATTTTGAAATATTTAGGTTTAATTTTTTACAATAAAATACCTAGGTTACCGTGGAATTTATTGAGAAATTAATATTAAAAAAAAATTTTAAGTAGCCTAGTTGAAAATTTTTTGTGACTTTTTAATAATAATTTCTCAATAAATTCCACGGTAACCTATATATTTTATTGTAAAAAACAAAACCTAAATATTTCAAAAACCTTATTTTTAGTTTTTTTCTACTCCGTCTAATCAATAAATAATAGTATACTTAATTATAATTCAAAAATTGTTGTTGAAGTCTTACTTTCTCGTAAGACACTGTACAAATACTCACATTTAAAATTTTTTTTTCTCAAAAATTTGCACGGTAAGGTATAGTTAAAAGTTCACTATTAGAAAAAAATTAATTTTAGTCATGATCTAATATTTTTTTATTTAACATTGGTGTAGGACCTCCTTAATCCGATTTTATTCTAATCCATCAATATTTTGGAGGATTAATGATTTAATCAAGATTTTCTAACGTCAAAACAGTCAAAGTTTTGTCATCAGTTCGCTCACTCTGCATAGGCACATTCTTTAGCAATAAACTGTGTCAGTACTTTCTATTTTTGTTTCTTGTATATACTTTATTTAATATTGCTTTTAATGAAAAATGGAAATAGAAGACCAACTGGTCTTGGAAGATGACCAAGATATTATAGATATAATTAATTTTGGGTTTCCAAGACAAAATTATGAGAGAAATGAATTCTTTGATACGATGGACAACTTGTCATTTTTTAGGCGATTTTGGCTTACAAAACCGACAGTTTTACACTTTTTAGAGAATATTGAAGAACAACTGGAATATGATAATGATCTGTAAGTTACAGTTTAACATAAACAGCAATATTTATAAGTCTGCATGATGTGTATCTTATTTCAGAAACAACAGTTTAACCCCCATTAATCAATTTTTAATAGCTTTAAGATGAATATATGCCTGTGGGGGACATCAGATTTCTATAGGTGCTTTTATAGGAGCACATCAGTCTCTCGTACACTAAAAAGAGTAACAAAGGCTATTGCACGTCTTAGACCAAATTACATTAAAATGCCTAATCAGCAAGAACGACTACAGATATCCACGGATTTCTTTAATATATCAAAATTTCCTCACGTTATTGGATGTGTAGATGGAACACATATAAGGATGCAGTCACAGGTATAAATATTTTGTAAAGAAAAAAGATAAAGATATATTTTGTTAATATTAAAAGTACATGAAACAACACAATGTAATAATTTTATGTGAGGAGAAGATGCAGAAGTACTTATTTCGGAATCGGAAATCTTACTTTGCAGTTAATACTCAGGTTATTTGTGATTTAAATTTAAAAATCAGGTATATTGTTACCAGATCCTGGTTCTACCCATGACCTAACTATACAGGGTGTCCCAGCTTTTATTAGATAGGCTGTAACTTTTATAATAATTATCAGAATTAAATGAAATTTAAAAGGGTGCTATAATGACATGTTTGCTATCTAATGAGCGTATTTTCGAATATCAAGAACTTCCGGTCATACCGGAAGTGACCATGAATTTTGTTATTTCAAATAGGTCATACTGTATATTTCAACAATTTTGAATTCTCCAATCAATTCTACACATTTTTCATGTACTGTGTCCTATACCTATCTCTAACCGTTTCTGATAATTTGGAGGTTACATTTTATTAAGTATCTTGGCTGAAAATAAAAATAGTACAATTTAATAAATTTTACGAACATTTTATAACAAAAAAATCTAACATTAGAAATTATATGAACGTTTGAAGTGACATCTTTCTGTCTCAAGAAAAGCCTGAAACTTCTTTAGTAGTTTCCTCGTTACACATTGTGTATGTATGTTTTGTGCTACCCATCTAGATATTTCTAATGGGCTTTGTTATGTCAAATTTTCGATGTCATTTTGCATCGTTGTCGAGAACTAATTGGTTATTTTTAGTGGTAACGACTCAAAGTACAATGCCTTTTACTTTCACACCCAATGAATGTGTTGATGTGTTACTTTTATACGGTGAGTGTCAGAACAATGGGCGGCATGCAAGAAGAGTGTATCAACAACGGTTTCGTAGAACACCTGCAGCGTATACTTTTTCCTTGATTGAGTCAAAAATGCGAACTGGTTCTTTTCCGAATTCGATAAAACATTCCTATCATGAGACATCTGCAAGAAATTAAGTAATTTCGATAAACGTATTGGCTTATGCAAATGTTAATCCAAAAGTTAGAGAAATTTCTCTAGAAATGGGAATTAGCAAAAGTACTGTACACAGGATCCTCAAATCAGAAAAATACCATCCCAATAAAATATTTCTTGTTCAAGCACTTCGTCCCACCAACTACGAGCGAAGGTTGCAATTTATATCTGTTGTGCAAGTTATCCTTTTTGAGGATCCTACGTTTTTGAAGAAAATCTTATAGGGTGATGAATCAAGGTTTTACAACAATGGAATGGTAAGTCGCCACAATTCTCACTACTGGTCAGTAGAAAATCCACATTGGGTCAGAAAAACTCGTTTCCAAACAGTGTGGGGCATCAATGTTTGGTGCTGGCTATTTAACTATTTTTTTATGGCACGTTAAATGGGGTAAGGTATTTACATTTTTTTCAAAACTGTCTTCCCCGGCTGTTAGAAGAAATTCCGCTTAGCGACCGCGCAACCATGTTCTGGCAACAGGACAGTGCCCCACTACACAATAATAGAATTTTCACAAATTACCTGGATATGAGATTTCCCAATAAATGGATTGGAAACAAGGGACCTATAAGGTGGCCGGCGCGTTCCCCTGATTTAACCCCCTTAGATTTTTTTATGGAGCCATCTCAAAAACATGGTCTATACAACCCAACCAACTGATTTAGATGATCTTAAAAATAAAATAAGAGGAGCATACCATAGTATTACTCCCGAGATGATAAGAGCATCGTGTACAAAGGAATTCCTAAAACGATTTCAAGCTTGTGTTGAAGAGGACGGAAGACAGTTCGAACATTTATTATAATAATTATGTATTCTCTTTTTATAACAATCAATAAACTGTACTATTTTTACACTTTATTTTCGAACAAGAATCATAAGTTATTGTAACCACCAAATTATCAGAAACGGTTAGAGATAGGTATAGGGCATATTACATAAAAAATGTGTAGAACTGATTAGAGAATTTAGAATTGTTGAAATATACAGTGTGTCCTATTTGAAATAACAAAATTTTTGGTCACTTCCGGTATGACGGGAAGTTCTAGATATTGAAAAATATGCTCATCAGATAGCCCACAAGTCATTATAGCTTCGATCTGAATTTCATTTTATAAAAGTTGCAGCCTGTCTAATAAAAGCTGGGACACCCTGTATTTAACAATAGTAGAATTAGAGCCAGATTTGAAAATAACGAGTTCCTAGACTCAGTATTATTGGGTAAATTATGCTACAAATTTTTCATTAACAATCTCTATCTTTAGTCCGAAAAAAAAGAAAAAAGGTAACACTGGGGTCTATTCTGTAACAATTCCTTTATATTTAACGGCCTTTAAAAATATTTTTTTCTTTACTTCTGTCATTATTTAAACGGATCTTTAAAATACATTAGAGGACTATCTTAAAGAAATCTGTTTAAATAATGATAGAAGTAAATTAACGAATACGAACATATTTTTATAGGCCGCCAATATTTTTAAAGGCCGTTAAATATAAAGGAATTGTTACAGAATAGACCCCATTGTCATTTATTTTTTAGGTGACAGAGTGGATGTGTCAACAAGAACTATTTATTAATACCTCTTGAAAATACTGCAAATGCAACAGAATAGCTATATAACGATTCTCATATTAGGACACGAAATAGTATAGATGAGAGACAACTAGATGTCTGGAAAAGAAGATTTCCTATTTTAGCTTAGGGCATGAGATATAAGCCTGAATTTTGTAGTAACAATAGTAGCTACTGCAATTTTACCCAATGTTGCAACTGAAAGTAATGAAAATATTCCCCCACCACCGCCTGAAAATATGACGAAAACCAACTGAATTATTTAATTACACTTGGAAACATTGAAGATGAACATAATATAAGACATCCTCAAGAACAAGGAGGTAATGGAGTATTTTAATCTGAAAAATTATTTTGGATATTTATAAAATGCAAGTTCACATAAAGTTTAAAATTATTGTTAAATGCATAAATTATTTTTTAATAAATTTTTTTTCGAGTATTTCTTTATCTCCTGTCAACCGGGATGGAATATATTTTTCAACAAAAGAAAATATATTGTATTCTATTAAAAACACAAATCTTATAACAAAAACATTAAATTCTTAATATACTCGTAGAACATAAAACTTCTGGAAATA